GGACTAAGATCTCCAGACCCGCAGAGCATAGGGTAGCAGGGACAGGAAGCAAAAATGTTTTGAGTGGGTCACTAGGGGTAATAGTGAGTGGTACCACTCCTATTTCCACCCCTGGGTTCCTGGACCCATGAATCCTGGCTATTGGAGAAACAGAACCATATATTGGATGTTGGTTTAGAGCATATACAGCCTCCTGAAGAACATTTCCCCAACCCTTCAAGGTATTGCCACCTAGCTGGCGTGGTATTTGTGTTGTTAAGAGGCCATTCCATCGTTTTATCAAACCAGCTGCTTCAGGATGGTGGGGAACATGGTAAGACCGGTGAATTCTATGAACATAAGCCCACTGCCACACGTCATGTGCTGTGAAATGAGTCCCTTGATCCGAAGCAATGCTGTGTGGAATGCCATGACAGTGGATAAGGCATTCTATAAGTCCATGGATGGTAGTTTTAGCAGAAGCATTTGCGTGCAGGGAAGGCGAATCCATATCCTGAATAAGTATCTATTCCAGTAAGAACAAAATGCTGTCCTTTCCATGATGGAAGTGGTCCAATGTAATCAGCCTGCCACCATGTTGCTGGCTGATCACCCTGAGGAATGGTTCCATATCACAGACTCAGGGTTGGTCTCTGCTGTTGGCAGATTGAGCACTCAGCGGTGGCAGTAGCCAAATCAGCCTTGGTAAGTGGGAGTCCATGTTGCTGTGCCCATGCATAACCTCCATCCCTGCCACCATGGCCACTTTATTCATTAGCCCACTGAGCAATGACAAGAGTAGCTGGGGAAAAAGGACGGCTGGTTTCCACTGAACGTGTCATCCTATCCACCTGATTGTTAAAGTCCTCCTCTGCTGAGGTCACCTTTTGGTGGGCATTCACATGGGACACAAATATCTTTACTCCTTTGGCCCATTCAGAGAGATCTATCCCCATGCCTCTTCCCCATACATCCTTACCACCAATCTTCCAATCATGCTCCTTCCAAGTCCCAGACCATCCAGCTAAGCCATTAGCCACAGCCCATGAATCTGTATATAATCACATCTCTGTCTATTTCTTGTTCCATGCAAAGTGAACAGCCATATGCACGGCCCGAAGTTCTGCCCATTGGGAGGATTTCCCTTCACCACTGTCCTTTAAGGAAGTCCCAGAAAAAGGCTGCAGTGCCGCTGCTGTCCACTTT